CTATCAGTTAAGGTCACCATTTACACGTGTACAAACAGACGGAATACTGAATATAAATATTCTTACCATAGGAAGAATTTGAACCAGACAGGGATTTTCATCCTTCCCTAGGTTATGTATGCTTATCTATTCATTTGGTTAGGATTTAAATAGCACAACATATTGAATATGTGCACTCCCTTTAGGTTCATCTAGTAAAATGGTTGCATTACATGTATATGGTCTGCAGTGATCAAGAGAGTGCGTTTGAACTCCTGCACGGTCGCTCATCTTCCTAATTCTGTCTTCAGATAATTTCTGCTTGGCCGCAGCCAAAAAATACAAGGAAAGTAAACCAAATTATTAGTATGATTGTTGTTTATTGTTAGTCAGCGATCACCACAATGGCAGAGTCAGTACGACTCCGTTTTCAGAGCACTAGTTCTTAAGGTCAGAGATATAAACCTCAGAAACATCGGTATACCAGTAGTATGTCGCTTCAGTTTTCAGTTCTTGAAACCACTAAGCATTCGGATGAAACAATGGAGGGAAGATTGTCAAAGGATTCAGGTGAACTAAGACTGCCGAGATATGGAGTAAATGTACGAGCGCCATTGTTTCCGATACACTCATATCAATTAGTATCTCCGACCATCAGTTATCATGACCCCGAGGTCTACATCCAGAAAGTCCATCGCCACCTATCTGACCGAATATCCTGAGTAGGGTTTTCAAGCCCTCATGCCAGGCTTACTCTGACCAACCGTGACTTTTTCCACTCATTAGCTGCCTCGGCAAACATCGCATTGCATTTGGAAAGTCGTATCTCTCGTAGTATGCCACTTATTACTTTCCTAGTTCAATACTACTAACACTGCTATTGTTATATATGCCTAGGACGGCGCCGGGATGAGGAAAGCTAATTATTGAAAATAACGGTAAGGGTATCGGTAAATTGGCATGCATACAACGAAATGTCACATTTAGAACAAGTCTTCAGAATACCCAAAAGCACACAGGATAATAACTGAAGTGTTCCGGTAAGTGCGTTCTCTGCAGGTACAAAAGCAAATGCTTCAATCCACTCGCAAATCCGTTAGGAATCCAATAACCGCTTCTTTGTGAGTGTCAACTACTCACACGTGTGAGTAGTACTTCACAACACTGTCATTATCATTGAGGATATCATCTTAGCTAGTGACAAAACGTTTTCAAAAAAGCTATCTAACCCAACAGAAAATTAAAAACGAATACTAAATAATCCAATTGAGGAGTTTTAGGACACTTTAGTTCCAGAAACACGATTTATAGTGTCGATTATCCTAGTTAATCATGTTACCATACATAGGCACACAGCGCGGGGACAGTAATTTCCCCCAGAAGAGGTTTGTTGATACCACTTGCACATAATGAAAAGGTACTTTTTAAGACCGCATGAATTATCAACGCCGGTGAAAACCGGCGAAAAATCGGTGCACCCCTTGCTAGCAGTGGTTTAGTCGCTGTTACCAGTGTGCTTTGAACCCTATGGTCCGAAGTTCGAGCCCCACCACCGCCGCCCAACTTTGGTGGTGCCGTCGTCCGGTTCAATATCACACCTAACTTATCGAGGCCTTATGTGGTTCACCACTCCAAGTCCTGGGGCTTAGGTTACCGGCTTCCATCACTGAACAGCAGGTCCTCGAGATTATGGGGCTTTCCCCGTTAGCTGATCATCACACGAGAGTATGTAATAAGGAATTTCTGCGGGTACGTTTGTAAACCTTTCAACGGAGCACATCACATAAATGGAAAGCTGAAAGCATGTATATAACTCGCTAAAGCCTGAATACAATACAATACAGATATTTTCAATTAAATTGTAGAATGAGTGAAATGAAAATAGTAGGACCAGAGGGAGTAGACCACTGGTATACTCGGATTGAGCTGTGAACAGGGATGTGGTGGAAGAAAAACAAAAGAATTAGACTGTCGACGCTCACCTTGAATGCAGACCGCTTGTGTAATTCCTGATAGTGGTGACTCAACATTGCTTCACCCTGTTTCGAGCCGAGTAGATTCACTATTGCCGTTGCACCGTAATGCGAGACGATATTCATCAGATGTCGTTCAAACGCAGTGGTTGATAGTTCTAGACCGCGACTGAAATGAATTTTGTGGGAGCCAACCTGGATGCCCGGTTGTTCCCAGAACAGTGGAACAGTACCGCGAACCTGGATGTGACTGAGCACGGTATTGCCGAGGTAGATGAACTGTAAAAGATAGACGGAAAAGGAAGGATATCCTCAGTTGCGTCGGGGCTAGAAAACGAAACCAATGTTTCTACTTTGAGCGGAATGAATTGTTCTAGTCGGTTGGGATTCAACGTTTATCAAAACTATGCAGGAAAAAAACAAGAGAGATAGTCGTGGAAAGAGCATCAAATTTCTAGAGGTCTGTGGTGATTCAGTGGCTAAAATCACCAATCTGGTCCATCAATGAGGTAATGATAGAGATTAAAGGAAAAAAATGAGAGCAACATTAAGTTTAAAAAGTACCCAATAGCAGTATGGTAGACCAGAGTTCAAAGTGAACGGTTGCATCAGCGCCACTATTTGCGATGCTCAGTCGTATCACTCTCTGACGACTGATTCAGTTTCTTTTTATACAAATATTATTCTTGCACTTTGTACGGTAACTTTGGCAGAACATTTGAATGAATGAATATAAGTAGAAAGGTGGGGGCATTACCGAGGTGAGGGCACAGAATTCAGGTGCACGAAGATTGCGAACAAATTGAAACGCATGGGGACACTATTAGGAACGCACAGTATATTTAGCCATCGAATACACCGGTTCCAAGATTCCCAATCGGGGAGAATGGTGCGATCTATATGTCCAGTTCAGCGCAGTTTATACAACCACTAGCCATGCACTTTCGTACCCCGGTTTTGGTTGCTGTCTATTTGGATGAACAACAGGAGAAAGACAGGAAAGTTGAAAGTCCAGTCGAAGAGAAAATTGAGAACTCCAGTAAACTATGGCTGTAAAGAAATTGACATGCACGATCGCCACTGTTTACGACACTAAGACATATCACTCAGTGTCTCTAACTATCGGTTGCGATCATCCCGAGGTCCCCATCCAGGGAGTCTAACAGGACCTATGTGACCCAGTCTCGTGGTTAGGATTTTCATATCCGCATGCCAGATCTTAGCTTGACCATCCTTGACTTTATTCCCCCCACTACGTGCCTCGGCGAATGTCTCTCGCCGTGGCAACCTATTTGGCGAAATGAGTAACACATGACCCAACCAATGTAATCTATGGAGGTTGACCACTTGCTTCAGTGGGTGACCGCAGATACCTAAAACTCTACGCCTAACTTCAGCATTGCTCGTCCGGCTGCCCCACCAGATTCGTGCAATGCTACGTAGACAGGGGTATTCAAACACCGACGGTGTATCTTTATCCTGTTTTCTTAATGGCCAAGTTTCTGTGCCGTATAGGAGAACTGGTCCAACTGCTGCAACATACATTTAACCCTTCACAGAGAGCCGGATGTTGTGACGGCACCACAGATGTCTCAAGTTGGCGAATGCCAATCGAGCCTTCTGTACGCGAGCTGACACTTCATCTGTGATGCGTCCACCGGGTGAGATGTAGCTGTCCACTTGATTAGGGTTTTCATACCAGGTTACAGTTTCGCTACCTTTCGATTTCTTTCAACCGTTACCTGCCTCGGCAGGCATCGCACGACAAAGCCATCTATCTGGTGGCATGCGTAACACTTGCCCCAGTCAGCATAGTCTATGGAGGTCCGGCTAAAATCATCGATAAGACTAATTCCGACCTACAGGAGAAAATTCTTTATTGCTTCACGTCAGATTAATCTAGCCACTACTGAACTTTTTGAAACCACATTGTCTTGGCAAAAATCACATACCGAGTAAGCATCACAAGTGAAACACATAACTTATAAGCCCTCCATGGCAATCTAAAGAGGTCAAGCATTTGAGTGTGGGCGACCTAATACTTTTCGTTCCTTTGATCTACCAGACCGCGGTACTTCAACTACCTTAATCAGATTCGCTGGATGTGAAACCTGATTCACCAGCTAACCGAATGTAATTCAGAAAGAATGCATTTTCGATCAATCAACCAAAATCTGTTTACTTTTAAAACAAAGTTTAGCCGGGACAAAACTGAAGAACACAAATTTAACGATTTTAGGCAACTCTAGTGGTTTTTGTTGGAGGTTTCAAAACTAATGTTACGTCTGCAAGTTCTTGAAGAAAGCGAAATAACCGCGTTAACAGATTGTCGATGGTAAACAGAGAGTTATGAAACGAGTCTAGAAATCGTGCAGAAATGCATGCGCGCGCATACACACGGCCAAACGTAAGCAGCGCATGTAAACAAAGCGGTATGAGGTAGACCGGGGTGCAAACAGACTTCGATCAGTATCGATCGTGGATAAAAAACGTAGGCACACCATTCGGTAGGATTTTACTGTCTGATCAACATAGCTTCATGATTTTATTTGAACAAAGGAAGGGATATATCGAGCTATCGTTGGGTGCTGAAACGGATTAAATGAAAGATAAATGACTCAGTACCAGAATACAAAAAATCCAGTGTAGAGAAATTTGAGTGACTGAGGGAAGTAATAACGAGAATCGCGGTGGTCAAGTTCTTACAATTGTTAAATGATCGGCCCGAAGGTCAACATCATTTCACAGTGTACTATAGTGAAGCGAACTTCACTGATCGCCGCCAAACCCATACCGCATACAAGCTTAGTGAGAATACGTACGTAGGATAGGGATTGGACTTACTTTTAGGGACCGGAAAAGAAAGCGAACCTCTATGGTCAACACACAGAGTACACAATCGAACTTTGCATACACACAGCTTCAAGCATTCTGGTCTAACAAGAAGTGACAGAAGGATCGCCACTGCTGTCGGCTGGCAACCATGATCTTCAGTGTGAACACAAATTGGCAAACAAGCTCATTTTCAGTGTGTCTTAATCATACCATTACAACACAATAAATATGACCAGTATCAAAGAGGGAATTACAAGGAAAAAAGAGGAAAAGTAATTACCGTATTCAAGAGTTTGTTTCATAATTGGTCCCCAATTATCACTTGCTCTGATGTTGCATGACAAGTCACTTGTCGGCAATCCGGCGATGGGAGCTTCAGTGTCTCCGACCGTGCGGTTTCGGAAGACGATACATCTACTCTACTCTGTGCATTTCTTCATGCCTCGTCTCCATGTAGCTTTCTCCAGCCTGCAACAGCCACTGCGGATAAGGCGCGCTGCGGTAGGCGACCGTCGGACATACGTAAAACATGTCCTAACCAACGGAGCCTACTGAGCTGGATTCGATGCGATAGCGAGTTCGTGTTTGATGCATTCCCCAAAACCCGACGACTTACTTCTAGGTTACTAACCCGCTCACTCCAACAAAAATCTTTCAAGCACATGAGGTTTGCCGATCGACAAGTGAGAGAAAACATGTTAAACAACATATCGAGAAGTCCAGTATAAACAAGAAAATAAGAGGAACGATGGATCGACGAGTAAAGGATACGAATCAAAACTACTACACAATGATTAATAAAAACAGACGGAAAACGTAAATGAGAATAAGGGAAACCTGACTATGTTCTCCAAACGCACAATTGACAGTTATGAAAACTGATTTCACAAGTGGAAGCTACGGCATAAACAACAAACGTACTTGTTCCGTTTCGACGAAGTTGGCCACATCACCTCGATCGTTTACTCCGCGTGAGTGAAACCGAGTTCCAGGACGCAAAGAAGAAACTCGTGATATGATTCCCATACGAGCCTGTTCCGCACCGCAATATATAGTACTAACTTCCACTGAACCGCAGATGATTGTAACTAACCACTCCAATGGATCGAGACCCCACTGTAGCAACGGTGTCATTAGGCCAATATTCCACAAGAAGCTGAATCCAACATCTGTGCGCAAATATAAATCACCCATGGATGCATTTCCATTGTTTAGACGAAATCTATTCTGAATGTTCACTGTCAGATCGTATGGTGACCCATCTTGCACATTTCGACCATAATAAAACGCCCCTGATGAGAGAAGTTTCCGAACCTGTTAAAAATAGAAGAAACGCAGAACACGCATTACAAAATGAGTATGTCCATTTCAAATAGAACAGATGGTTTATATGTAACCCGATACACTTTTTTTGCTTCAGCCTTAACAACTTGCGTGGGCGTAAATGCTCGTCAGTGAACACTGTCGGATTATTCACTGAACAAATGGATGGTATTGACTATTTGAAAAAGGCTAGTGTTATGCAAGATGTCTGCTGCAGCGAGATTTCTTTCGCATATCATCAGTTACTTCATGCGAATTACAAATGGACATTATACATGTTTATGGGGTATGGTGACAAATAGGTTCAAGGGCGAGATTCATACAACTTGTTCACAAGACAGTGTAACTGGTTTACCAACACTTTTTCTCCTAATCCGAATACAGATGGATGGAAATGGTTAGCAAATGGGTGAAGACGACGTGTTAATATATATATATATATATATATATATATATATATATATATATATAT